CTAGATATGGGCACTATATCGTGATGCCCTTTGGACTAACCATTGTCTAAACAGATCGTTTGCGCCAGCGACATTTCAACGCTGTATGAACGATCTGTTTAGACCATGGTTAGATAAATTTGTAATTGTATATCTAGATGATATTCTAGTTTTTAGTAAGATCCTCCAGGAGCATGAGGGGCATCTGAGATAGGTCTTGGAGAAGCTGAGAGAAGTTAACTTCAAGATCAACGCGACAAAGTGTGAGTGGGCCAAGACAAAACCTAAGGACAGTAAAATAGCAACGATTCAAGATTGGCCGACGCCCCGCAGATTGACAGAGTTGCGGTCGTTTCTAGGCTTAGCAAATAGGAAGTTCGGAACTTTTCTACCATCCCTGCAGAAGTTAACTTCAAGATCAACGCGAAAAAGTGTGAGTGGGCCAAGACAAAACCTAAGGACAGTAAAATAGCAACGATTCAAGATTGGCCGGCGCCCCGCAGATTGGCAGAGTTGCGGTCGTTTCTAGGCTTAGCAAATTATTATAGGAAGTTCGGAACTTTTCTACCATCGCTGCACCTCTTCGCAGGTTGCTAAAGAAAGAATCAATTTGGGAGTGGGATAGAGACTGTACATCGGCCCTGAAGAAGCTAAAGTGGGCCTTGATCCAATCTTCAATGTAGCCGCTCGACCCGTAGAGTTCACGTCTACTAGGATGCCTTTAGAGAAGGTAGCGACATCTACCTACGAGAGAGAACTTTACGCTCTCAGAACTACTTCCTTGGGAGACACTTCAAAGTGTATTCAGACCACGAGCCATTGAGGTGGCTGAAGACGCAGGCCAAGATGACACCTAAGCTTACTAGGTGGGTCGCAGAGATAGACTAGTTTGACTTCAAGCTCAAACCAGTTAAAAAGTATAATGTAGTCGCGAACGCTCTAAGTAGGACCCTATTTGGAATTAAGGGTGAGACCTGCAACATAAAGTTAAGGAAGCTTATGCGCAGGACCCTATTTATAGTGATCTCCCGCACTACAGACGGGTTGTTATTCGAGAAGACTGGTGTAGCTTTTATGCGTTCCCAACAGCGAAGAGATCCATAGTCTGATCTTAGGGGAATGCCACGACACAGAGGGACAAGACGTTAGCTAATGTAATTCGCGTGTATACGTGGGCTGGTATGAAGGCCGACTACATAGAGTATGTACGCAGTTGTAAGGTGTGCCGACGAAACAAGACCACCACGCCGCACTACAGACGGGTTGTTATTCGAGAAGACTGGTGTAGCCTGTATGCATTCCCAACAGCGAAGAGATCCGTAGTCTGATCTTAGGGGAATGCCACGACACAGAGGGACAAGACGTTAGCTAACATTATTCGCGTGTATACATGGGCTGGTATGAAGGCCGACAACATAGAGTATGTACGCAATTGTAAGGTGTGCCAACGGAACAAGACCACCACGCGAGCCCCTCTTGGTCTTCTCAGACCATTACCTATTCCCATGGGACCCGGAGATTCCGTCTCATGTCAAAAGCTAGATCATGGTTAGTAAGTACGCAGTTTTGATCACTGAGTCAGTAAGCATGGTTTACCGCTGTCCATAGTTGGTGACAGAGATACTAGGTTCACTAGTCAAAACTGGCAGGAATTGATGAGAGTCTACGGCTCTAAGTTGTTGATGTCATCTGACCGTCATCCAAAGACTAACGGTCAGACTGAACAGATGAACAAAATCCTGCAGCAAGTTCTCAGAATGTATATTAGACCCGACCAAGTTGACTGGAATGAGATGTTTCCCAAGGTAGCCAGCGCATAACCAGTGGGCTTGCCTACAAACAGCGTGCATTTAGCAACCTGTCTTTTCAAGAACCAGAAGACGACCGCTGGTTTACATGAACACAGGCTTGGACTGAAGTATTCTCGGAGGACCTCAAATTTAGGCTGGCGGGAGTGAAACGGTTTTCACCTTTGCAGTGACATGCAGATCCCAGGGTTCTATCCCTATACCTTACCTCACCCGTGTTCAGTATTAAGTCGACCCCGTGTGTTTTGAATCCGCGGCCTGTGTTTTGGTAGTTGAATATAGGCTGTTGTAGGTTTGTGTAGCTGTCGGGTCTTGAACTGTAGACCTGTCAAGACCTGTCGAAGTAGGGGTCGTAAGTACGCAGTTTTTGTTCCTTTACCCGCAGAGGCACATAAAGATTTAGTGATAGACAAGTTTTTGATCACCGGGTCAGTGAGCATGGTCTACCGCTGTCAATAGTTGGTGACAGAGATATCAGGTTCACCAGTCAAAACTGGCAGGAATTGATGAGAGTCTGAGTATCTTCAACGGCGTTGAATAAGTCATGTCCGTCTCGTTGTGGACTTCTACAACGTCTCATTTATTTGACATATTGATTGTACAAATGAGCAGTTCATACGGTGACTGTCCGTCTCATTGTGGACTTCTACAACGTCTCATTTATTTGACACAAGGTAAAATCATGTATCAAAACGACTTCTTGCATCATCAAAAGGGAGAGGGGTCAAAACTTCAATCTGATTTGCACAGACTTACTGAAGTGCCCTCCGAACCGTGCGAAATAGTTGCCCATTACACGGCTTATTAACAACAGAATTTAGCGAACGACGTCAAATTTTGCTATGGATTGCTTTTTTTGCATCTTTTGCAGTGAAAATACCTATGGTACCAGTTCATATTTGGTTACCTGAAGCTCATGTAGAAGCACCCACCGCTGGATCTGTTATCTTAGCGGGAATTCTCTTAAAATTGGGAACTTTTGGAACAGATGAACAAAATCCTGCAGCAAGTTCTTAGAATGTATATTAAACCCGACCAAGTTAACTGGGATGAGATGTTCCCCAAGATAGCCAGCGCATAACCAGTGGGCTTGCCTACAAACAGCGCGCATTTAGCAACCTGTCTTTTCAGGAACCAGAAGACGACCGCTGGTTTACATGAACACAGCCTTGGACTGAAGTATTCTCGGAAGACCTCGAATTTAGGCTGGCGGGAGTGAAACGTTTTTCACCTTTGCAGTGACAGATGCAGATCCCAGGGTTTGATCCCTAAACCTTACCTCACCCCTGTACAGTATTAAGTCGACCCCGTGTGCGACCTGTGTTTTGGTAGTTGAATATAGGCTGTCGTAGGTTTGTGTAGCTGTCGGGTCTTGAACTGTAGACCTGTCGAAGTAGGGCTCATACCTGTGTAGGGGTCATAGTAGTTGCAACTCTGAAATGTCGAGTCATAGCTCCTACAGTCCTGAAAGGTCAAGGTCGTAGCTGCTATAGTTCGGAAAGGCCAAGTCCACAGACTTCCGGAAGGTCAGGAAGCGGCATTTCGAGTTTTTCTCAAGTTAGACCAGAGGCAAGTGGGCAAGTGGGTAGTCCAGTCAGCAAGTACCATGTGGGACTGTGTGCACCATGGGCCCAGTGAAAAGGGGCAGACCAGCAACTTACATAAGTATAAATCAAGAGGCAGCATCCAGCAATTCATTCATTCCTGCGTGAGCCATGCGGAAGCGCTGTCCTAGCATCTTGTGCGAGGTGGTCTGCACATGCCCGGAGTAGAAGTGGGCTGAGGCGGAGTTAGAGCAGCCATTGCTGCTTATAGTTAGCTGTAGCCCGCGGCCATAGCCGCCATAGCTAGCGATAGGTGGTAGTGAGAGTGAGTGTTTGCATGTCTGATACAGAGTGTGTGTGCGTGTGTGATACAGAGTGTGTGTGCGTGGGATATCCAGGGAGATCCAGAGTTGAGTGCGTGTGAGCAGTTGCCGTGAATACAGAGTTGGGAAATGAAGTGTGGGCGCCTGGGTGTCATAGCCAATTGAAGCAAGTTTGTATCCGAGCTGTGTTCTCGGCTTGAATATCTCTGAGCTTTGTGTGGGCGCCTGGCGCCAGTGTGCTTTGCCATCTGTTTGCATGCATGCGAAGTGAGAAGAAGGCGAGTCTGATTTCATATGACAGCATGTTGTACTCATTTAGGGCATTCCTCCGCTACTCACCACAAAATGCATTTTGTGGATTCTTTCCATGTTCTAGCAGAAAATTCATAAATTCATTCTCATTTGGCACAACTGGTGACAATTGGAGCAAGGAATTTAGAACCACTCATGGTGAAGAATGTTTTTCTCTTTGTTTTGTCTTTTGCGGCCCTGGAGGTAGCTTTTTGGCATGACAGCAGCAAGAAACTTCCAATGGCCCCGCTGTCGTTTTCACTTGCACAGCTATGCCCAAAGGTGGGACGAGGAGTAGGTAGTCAAGGAAGTTTCTTCTGGGGCCACCAGCACTGCCAAACCAAAGCACTACCAGCCATAGGACTGGTACTCCTCAGTGGCATTTGATGAACACTACATAGCCCATGAGCTGGTGATTTTAATAATGGATTGTCGAAAATTGCTGCCCGAAACAACTCTTCCACCCCTCTCTGCTCATCTCATCTGCCAGGAGTTTATTGGATTGCATAATCATCATTATCACTGGCAAGTTGCAACCCCATTGAAGGACACACACACACACACACACACACACACACACACACGGCTGCTGTACTATACACCCAATCACCACGATTGTCAGGCACTGCAACCTCGTTGAAAGGGGAACACACACACACACACACACACACACACACACACACA